CGCCGTGGTCCTTACCTGGCCGGGGCCGCGGGGTCGGGGGGAGACGCCAGGCCCGGAGCTACCTGCCCCCCGGCCCCCGCCCGCGGCCTGACATCACGGGGCGGGGGGGTGGGGGGCGGTCGGCGGTTCGGCCGCTCGCTCACCGGGACCAGCACGGCCTGGGCCGGGACATCGGGGTGGGGGAGGGGGTGACAGCAGGTGGTCATCCGAGCTCGAGCTCGGCCCCCTTACCTGGAAAAGCCTCGGCAGGAGTCGCAGGACCCAGGGTCCTGAATCCGGCCCCGTCTAGGGACCCCAGACTCCTGGCCTGGGTTTCACTCCACCCCTCTTCTCTGCAGGTGGCGGGAGGGGTCCCCGCTCCGGAGGGAAACGTGGGGGTTCGGGGGGAGCCTGAGCAGCCCTGTGTGTCCCCGCTTCTGGCCCAAGGAAACTGAAATGTGTTGTGCAGGTGGAGGCGGGGCCTGGAGAGGAGCCTGGGAGGAGGAAGCACCCCGGGGGCGGGGACTCCCTGAAACTCGACGCCGGCCGGGATTGTTTTTGTCCCTTTCAGCCTGGCAGCAGGTGCCAGGGGAGAGAGGGGCGGAGACTGCCGACCTGCACCGCCTCCAGAGCGAAGATCTGGAGTCCACGTCGCCTGTCGGGGAGAAGCTGGGGGCGGGAAAGCGGAGGGGGGGAGAGGGGAGGCCCCGCCCACTCTGCCCTGTCCCTTCTCCAAGCCTGCTCATTGGCCAAGCAAGGGGGCTCTCGGTCCCACCCCCTGGGGCAAAGGGCACTCTGCAAAAGAGGGAAGCCTGCCCCTTGACCTCCAGCCAGTCTAGTCACCCAAGCTGCATCCTGGCTCCTAGGAGGCACTCAGAGTGTGTCCTCCCTCCTAAGCAAAGCCCAGAGACTCAGCTTCTCCTTCTGAAAGTGAAGGGGAGAGTCAGGGTCTCTCAGGGGGAGAAGTGAGCTGGGCCAAGCTCTGGCCAGGTGCCAGGGGACTCCCTGAGAGCCCTCCCTCCAGCCTCTCCGGCAGCACCGGGCAAACACCAGGGCTGGAGGAGGATCTGGGAAGCTGAGATCAAAGGCAGCAGCGGCAACCGCCCAGCCAGAAGCGGGTAATGGTTGGGTAAACAAACAATCCACAAGGTGATAAGAGGTCTTCCCTGGGGGAGACCATGAGAAATGGCTCGGGCCTCAACTTTCTCCAAACTAGATTTTTTTTTTTTTTTTCCAGGAAAAACCTGTATGAGAGGACTAAGCAAAGATGTGGGGGAGGGGAGAGGTCACCCCGGCCACGGAGCAGCTTGTGCAAAGCACAGAAGACAGTTCCCTCAATGATTCCTTCCTTCATGCAACTGGTATTGGTCAAGTACCTACTGTATGCCAACCCCGTGCTTGGTACTGGGGAACCCAGCGGAGAGCAACAAAAACAAACCCCACCCTTGTCCTCAAACAGCCCAGGCAGGGAGACTGATGTTAATCAAAGGATCGCACAAACAGTAAGAAATGATAGGTGACAACTGCCGGGAGAATGACTCACCTGGGGAGTGAGCGAAGTCTCCGTGGAAGTGACGACGAGCAGAGGGGAGGCTGTGTGGGGCCAGAAGGTGGGTGTGGAAAGTATGGGGAGCAAGTGCTTGGACTCAGGAGGGCTTTTCCCAGTGTGGCCTGGGACCGCCTGCCTCCACATCTCCCTCGGCTTGTGCAAAAAAAAAAAAAAAAAAACAGATCCCTGTGCCCCTCCCCACCCACTGAACCTGTCTCTGGGGCCAAGACAGGAATGTATGGTATTGACAAGCCCTCGGGTGGTTGTTCTGTAAACCTGGTTTAAGAGCCACCCATCCTGTCTGTCCAGACGGGCAGGAACTGTGGACCGAGGCCAGACCCTGCAAGGTCTATCTGGGCTTACGTAGAGGCACCGAGGAGCAGGCCAACAGCCTGATATCTATTCTGGAAAGTTCACTCTGGGTGTTGAAGGATAGGTTGGCGAGGGAAGTCAGACTCAGAGGCTGAGTGCTGTAAGACTCCACGTATATGGATTTCTGGAGGGCGTGGAACTATAAAGACAGAAAACAGATCTGGGTTTGGGGAGGGGAGGTGGGGTTGATCATAGGGGCACAAGGACTTGAGGGAGGTGATGGATTGTTACGTATTTTGGTCAAGATGATGGATATACCACTGTGTGTGTCAGGACTCACAAACACTCAAAAGGGTGAATTTTACTGTGTATAAATTGTATCTGAATTTTCAAATTAAAAAAAACAACAAGAAGAAAGAATAGATTTATAGCTCAATGAAGCAGAATCAAGAATCCAAATGTAAACCTTTACATTTCTGGTCAATTGATTTTTGACAAAGGTGCCAAGACCATTCAATGTGAGGAAAAGGTTAGTCTTTTCAATAAATACTTCTGGGACAGTTGCATATCCACATGCAAAGGATGAATCTAGATCCTGACCTCACACAAGGTACACAAATTAATTCAAAATAGATCAACCTAAGTGTGAGAGCTAAAACTAAAATACTTCTAGAAGAAACCATGGGAGAAAATCTTTATGACTCTGTACCTCAAATACAACAGCAAAAGCACAAGTGACAAGTGAAAAAATTGATAAATTAGACTTCATCAAAATTTAAAATTTTTTGCCTTTCAGACACCATTCAGAAAATAAACACACACACACACACACACTCACACACACACCCCTTGTCAAACACTGGGAGTAAATATATTAATAGCTGATTAGGGACTTTGTATCCAGTCTATAAAGAACTTTTACAAATCAATAATAGACAAACAACCCAATTAAAAATGGGCAAAATATTTGAGTAGATGTTTTTCCAGACAAGATATATGAGTGGCTAGTAAAGTTGCTCGACATAAATTTGTCATCAGATAAATGCAAATTAAAGCCACAAGGAGCCCTGGCCAGTTTGGCTCAGTGGATAGAGTATCAGCCTGTGGACTGAAGGGTTCTGGGTTAGATTCTAGTCGAGGGTACCTGGGTAGCAGGCTCAGTACTTGGGTTCCAGGCTCAATCCCCAGGCCCCAACAGGGTCCGAGTGGGAGACAACCAATCCATGTCTCTCATATCGATTTTCTCTTTCTCTGTCTCTCTAAAAATCAATGGGAAAATATCCTTGAGTGAGGACTAACAACAACAACAACAAAACCCACAATGATATATCACCTCACACTCATCAGAATGACTATAATCAAAGGGACAGACAAGTGTTGACAGAGATATGGGGAAACAAATCCTTATATATTGCTGGTGGGAATGTAAAATGGTCCAGCCACTTTGAAAAACAGTTTGGCAGTTACTTAAAAAGTTAAACATAAACTGTCCATGCAATCCATGCAATTCTATTCCTGGAATCTACCCAAGAGAAATGAAAACACACGTACAAAGACAATTACATTAACATTCTTAGAAGCATTGTTCAAAATAGCCAAAAACTGGACTTTCAAACGTCCATCAATTGGAATAGATCAACAAAAGGTGGCATGTCCATAAAATGGGATACCAAGCTACAAAATGAAGCAAACTACTGGTACAGCTACAGCATAGATGAACCTCAGAACCTGTACACGGAATGAAAGAAGCCAGAGCGAAAGACCACGTATTTTATCATTCCATTTAATACATGAAATGTCCAGAAAAGGCAAATGTATAGACAGAAAGCATGTCCGTGGTTGCCTAGGACTGGAGTTGAGAGCTGGATTGACTGCAAGCAGGCAAGAGGGGCCTTTGGAGGTTGATGGAAATGTTCTGTAATTGGATTGTAGCCATGGATACACAAATCTCTATGTCATTGTTTTAAAACGAATGGTTTGGGGATGCTAAAGTGGGTGACCTGTTCGTATATTACAGTGGAATGCCAGGGAGGGAAGACGCAGGGGGACCTCCTTCCCAGCTTCCATATCTAGAGTCGCAAAATGGGAACAGTGGTGTCAGTCTATAGTAAGGCTGGGATGACAGGGGAGGTGCAGGAGCTGGAGGCACGTGATGGGATCAGAGAGCCTAAGAAGTGGGAGCCCCAAAGCCTATAGTTCCCAGATGCAGGGCGAGAGATGGTCACTGCCCCAGGTTACATCCACAGCTTGGAGTTTAAGAGCCAGAAATACTTAAGTGTGTGACTATGAGGAGTTTGATGTTTTGTTTTGTTTTAATATACTTTATTGATTTTTTACAGAGAGGAAGGGAGAGGGATAGTTAGAAACATCAATGAGAGCCACCAATGAGAAACATCAATGAGAGAGATAGTTAGAAACATCAATTGGTTGCGGGCACATCCCCAGTAGGGGGTGTGCAAGAGGCAGCTGGTCGATATTTCTCTCTCATTGACGTTTCTAGCTCTCTATCTCTCTCCCTTCCTCTCTGTAAAAAATCAATAAAATATATATTAAAAAAAGAAAAAAAAGAAACATCAATGAAAAACATCGATCAACTGCCTCCAGCACACCCCCTAATGGGGATGTGCCTGCAACCGAGGAACATGCCCTTGACCGGAACCAAACCTGGGACCTTTCATTCTGCAGGCCGACGCTCTATCCACTGAGCCAAACCGGTTTCGGTGTGACTATGGGGAGTTTTAAAATGCCATGCACATGTTAGCGAGAAATGGCAACTATTCCATACTATAGGCCAACGCAGGGTCCTGAGACCCCCCTGCTCCACCACATTCTCTTCCTGGAAAGCGCTTTGCAGTTTAAAGATATTTCATTAATTAGATCAAAGGCAGAAGCAACCTCCCAGCCAGAGCGGGTCATGGCCGAGAAGTGCAGGGGACACCGGGTGCAGGACAAGTCCCTGAGCTCGCTCTGAAGGTGGTCTGCACTGCACCCCGCCCCCCCCCCAGCCGCGAGCCGCCTGGCCAAGGACGGGGTCAAACCTAGCGCAGCGGCAGCCGCGGCCTGCAGGGGGCGCCCGGACGGAACGCGTGGCCCCGCCCCGTCACGTGCCCGCGGCGTCACGTAACACCCGGAAGCAGCGGCGAGAGCGGGGCCGGCAGCGATGAGCGGGGACGTGGGGCCGGTGTCCGCAGCGCCCCATCGCGGGGAGATCGAGCCGGGCAGCGGGGTCCGCATTGTGGTGGAGTATTGGTGAGCGGCGCCGGCCGGAGGAGGGCGGGTCCACGGGCGGCCCGTACCCCGAAACCCAAGCGAACCCCGGTGTGGTCGGTCTCCCCATAGTGAACCCTGCGGCTTTGAGGCGACCTACCTGGAGCTGGCGAGCGCCGTGAAGGAGCAGTACCCCGGCATCGAGATCGAGTCGCGCCTGGGGGGCACAGGTGCGGCCACGGAGCCCCCGCCGAGTCAGGGCTCCGAGTCCCCGCGACACCGCTCTGTCCCTGGCGGCGGCTGCTTCGTGCCCAGCAGCACCTGGCACCTGCGTGCAATGTCCTGACAACCTGACCCCCCTTCCGTAGTGGGTGAGACTGTGAAAGGGAAAACCGGGGAGACTGTGAAAGTACAGGTTTGGACGGAAGCCTTCATGTTCAAAGAAGGGGACTCTTGGGGTGCCTCCCGTGGGTCCCTTTGGCTTGACACCCAGGGTTGGGAAGTGGCTTGAAGAGCTACAGGTCTCCAAAGGGACAGGCGGAGAGGACGCGAAAGCCTGTGTGAAGCCTGAGTGTGTAGGGCCGCCTGACCTTTGCCCTGTCCTCTGCCTACCGTTCATTCGCTGGTTTGTTTCACGTCAGGGGCCTTTGAGATCGAGATCAATGGACAGCTGGTGTTCTCCAAGCTGGAGAATGGGGGCTTCCCTTACGAGAAGGATGTGAGTATCTGCCATGTTGGAAGTGCCCCCGTGTCACCATGCCTCCACAGCCCATCATCCCGTTCCCTCTCTCTGCCCTCCAGCTCATCGAGGCCATCCGAAGGGCCAGCAACGGAGAACCGCTAGAGAAGATCACCAACAGCCGCCCGCCCTGCGTCATCCTGTGACTCCATGGGATGCCAGGTTCCTGTTGCATTCTGGGATACAAGCCTCGGTCTCCCCTTTGGTCCTGCTGAGGGTCCAGACCCTGCTGCCTCTTTCCCCTCACGTAGACTCCAGGTAGCTGAGACCCTGGCCTCCACGTGGCCCCTTTGGGGACCAGGAGGGAATAAACTCCCGTTGGCCTGGAGGGTGGGAGAGCCTCTCCTTGTACCCCTTCCAGGGACCAATGTCCACAAAAGCTTGCTCCCCACTCCAGCCTCGCTCCATCTGCAAGAGGCCACTGTAGTTTTAATTTATTTTCTACTAGCCCCGGGCATTGTCAGCGATTGGCAATAAACTGGCACTACAAACACTTGTGCCAACTACTGTGTGTTATGTCCAGCCTGGGAGTGTGGGGGAGGAGCGGGTGGCTGTGCTGGGTGGGCGGGTGTTTCTGGCTCAGTGATCTCATAGCCAAGGTGAGGAAAATGAGTGACACTGTAAACACTGCCTCTTCTCCCTGCTCCCTCCTCTCCATCTCATTATGGAGGGTGGCCTCAGAGATTTGTGTTCTTCTCAGCAAGAACGATTCAGGCCGGGACCGGTTTGGCTCAATGGATAGAGCGTCGGCTTGGGGACTGAAGGGTCCCGGGTTCGATTCCTGTCAAGGGCATGTACCTTGGTTGCGGGCATATCCCCAGTAGGGGGTGTGCAAGAGGCAACTGATTGATGATTCTCTCTCATCGATGTTTCTAACTCTCTGTCTCTCTCCCTTCCTCTCTGTACAAAATCAATAAAATATATTTTAAAAAAAAAAAAAAAGAACGATTCAGTTGGCAAAGGGCTCGCAGATCGGTATCCGCAACACCCAGACCCCCCCCCCCCCACCCACCCAGAAGCCAGGATGCTAGAAGGCGGGCTTCTCATTCAAGCTTCTGGAAGATGACCAGTCGCTCCCTCGGGAAAAGATGAGCTGAGTGTATGTTAGGCGGCAAGCAATAAGGGATGGCACGGAACTACCCCCAGGCATAGGCTGGTGCCCAGCTGTTTTCCAAAATGTATTTGCAGATGGAGAAAGTGGGTTTGGAGGAAGGACATCCTCAACCTGAGGGACACCCCCCCCTCCTACAATACCCACTCCCCCCGAGTCCTTATTTTATCTTTTCTTTAAAAAAAAAAAAAAAAAAACCCACAAAAAAAATAAGTAAAAACAAAACAAAGAAAAAGAAAGCACTCTGTACAAGGACTAGCCCTGGGCACTGCTGCTGTCCCTCCTCCCCGGGCAGCGCGAGGGCTCAGAGACAGTCTCTGGATGGGTAGTTCTTGCCCTCGACACTTCTTTCGGGCCTCTTCCCCTCCGAGGCCCCGCTCCCCGGAGTCCTCCAGGGCCAGCGGTGTGGAAGGAGAGAGCCAGGCTGGGCTGCTCTCTCAGGTGAGGAGGTTGTGGCTGTGGCACCCACTGTCCGCTGCTGGGACAGGACTCCAGATTACTGAAGACACTCCGGATGCTGCCTCCTCTTCCAACCAGGCTGAGCTCCTCTGAGCCACCCGGGAATGGGAATAGGAAGGGAAGGGGCCTGGCATGGCGGGCTCCGCGGATACGGTCTGAGGGCCCTTTCCCCACGTGGTCCTGACACAGCCGGAAGTCAGGCCTGCCCCACTCCCCGTGGGTTCAGCCGGCCTGAACAGGCTTGGCCTTCTGCTCACACTGGCGCATCCAGGCCCAGGTACTCGGGGTTCTCTGCCGTCGGGGTCCCTTCAAAGGTGCTGGGCAGCGGGCCTCGCTCTGACGGGTCCTGGTCCCAGTAATAGAGGTTGTCGAAGGCCGGGCTGAAGGCGGGCGGAGGGTGGGGCTGAGGCGCAGCCCTGGCACGGGGTGCCAAGTACTCGGGGTTCTCCACAGCACCCCCAAAGGCAAAAACGTCTTTGACAACCCCGTTCTTCCCCGGGGACAGAGTCTTGGGTGAGAGCGTCTTGGGCCTTTCCAGAGAGGCGCTGGCAGAGCGAGGCGGCGGCAGAGGGCCCTCGAGGGGCGAGGGGGGCTTCAGGCGAACCTCGGGCTGGTTCACGTATTCTGGAAGGGCGAGGGAGGGGGTTTGTGAGGGGAAGACACCCCTGGGTCCCAGCCACTAACGCAGCCCCCACCTCCCCCACCTCCGGCCGGGACTCCGTACCTGGCTGGGGACTGCAGGCCGCGGGGGCGACGTAGCCATCGGTCTCAGGGGGCAGGGGTAGCGTGGGGTCCTCACTGTACCGCTGGAGAGGGCTGGGGTCGTGGGGGGAGAGGCCCTGCAGCCCCTTGGCCGCCCCCATTCCCAAGTCGCTCTCGAACACATCGGAGCCCGCCCCCTCGGAGGGGGCCAGCGGAGACTTGGGGGGCTCCTCCTCAGGGGGCTCCAGCCCCAGTGTCGGGTCGCCGCCACCGCCGCCACCGCCGCCACCGCCGCTCTGGGGACGAGAGAGAGGGTCACCATGGCGGAGTCATTCACAGATTTGAGATGGAGACTATGGAGGTGACGGGGTCACGGGAAATAAATAGAGGTCCCCTTTGGGGTGTGGCCCAGTCACCGTGGGGAGAGTGGGGACGTGGGCTAGAAGGCAGCAGAATCCTTAAGGGAAATGGGGTCTCTGTGGGAGGTGGTGGTTGGGGGTGGGGGGGGTGACACCAACGAAAGGGACCTGGTCCGTGAGGGTCAGGAGAGGTCACCACACCCGCCGGAGTGTGGCCAAGGGCACTGACCCGGGTGGAGGGGCTGCGGTGCCTGCGGTGGGCCGTGCCCCCCGCCCCCGGGGCGGGGTCCGGGCAGAAGAAGCCTTGCTGGGGCACCAGGTACTCCTCCGCATCCACCAGGTCCCCCATGTCGTCGTCCTCCAGCAGGGACCGGTAGAAGGTGCTGTCCAGGGGGCTGGTGGGGCCCAGGTCCTCGTTCTGGGGAGGAGGGAGACAGCGTGGCGGCCTCTCCCCAGTCCAGGGCGCGGGCCCCCGGGAAAGGCTCAGGGGGGTGCCGGGCAGGAGGCACGCCCAGCCAGGCCCGGGGCCGGGCCGGGAGGCTGGGACCCGGGAGGCGGTGGACGGCCCGGTACCTGGATGACCACGAAGCGCTGTGGGTCCCTGGCCATGCGTGAGAATTCGGCCACCAGCTCCCGGAACCGCGGCCGGCACTCCGAGTCGATCATCCAGCCTGGAGGTGGGGGGAAGCCAGCCTCTCAGCCCCCGTGGGTGCCAGTGTGCGGCCCCGCCCCCGCCCTCTCCACGCTGGTCCAGTGATCCGGGCCCAAAGCTCTCCGGTGGCAGAGACGGGTACCAGCAACTCTGAGACTCTGTACGTTTGCCCTTTTCGTTTATGCATCTGAGTCTCTTTCTAGCTGGTCCCCTGGAGCGTCCCTGGACTGGACTGCGAGAGGGAAGGAAACCCCATGGGGGCTCCTGGCCTCTGGGTCACATGCATTTCTGTCTTGGCCGCCCCTTCCCTGTTCCTGGTAGAGCCTCTACCCGGAACCCCCCACCCGCCTCCAGGCAGCCGGCCCAGCCCGCACGCCACGCACATTTGACCATGATCATGTAGACGTCGATGGTGCAGATGGGCGGCTGGGGCAGCCGCTCGCCCTTCTCCAGCAGGTCAGGGATCTCCCGGGCCGGGATCCCGTCGTAAGGTTTGGCCCCAAACGTCATCAGCTCCCACACGGTCACACCTGGGGCAGAGACGGGGCAGAGACGGGCAGCAGGAGGAGCTTTAGCGTCCGAGTCCCATAGGCTCTGCCCAGGAGCCTGGCACCCTGGGGGAGGAGCCGGAGAGCAGGAGCCACCTTCAGTCCTCCCCCAGCCCCTGGGGCACGCGCAGCCCCTCGCAGGTGGAAGCGCCGTGGTCCTCCCTCCCGACCCACATTTATGCCGACGTGTCTCCATTCGCCCTCATCCTTCCGCCAACATCCCGCCCGCCCCTCCCCGTGCCGCCCACCGCGCACCGTAGCTCCACACGTCACTCTGGTGGGTGAACCGTCGGCGGAGGATGGACTCCAGCGCCATCCACTTGATGGGCACCTGGGAGAGGAGAGAAGTCCTTGAACTAGGTGTGCCACTGGGGGGATGGTCATTCTCAGGGTGCAGCCGGGGCCCAGACCCCACTCCACCTTGCCCCCATCCGCGTGGTACTCCGTCTCATCGATGTCCAGCAGCCGAGCCAGCCCGAAGTCTGTGATCTTGACGTGGTTGGGGCTCTTGACCAGTACGTTCCGGGCAGCCAGGTCCCTGTGCACCAGCCGCACCTCCTCCAGGTAGCTCATCCCCTGGGGTCGGAGGCATCCTTGTTGACCGGGCACCAGCCACGCTCTCCCGGGAGACCGCCCGCCCGGCCCTGCGAGGGGGCAGGCTTGCTCTCGGGAGCACTCGGGGCGCCCAGACCGCCCCCCCCCCCCGGCGCCTACCTTGGCGATCTGCACACACCAGTTGAGCAGGTCCTGGGAGCCCAGGCGCCCGCGGTGCTCCCGGACGTGGTCCAGGAGGCAGCCGTAGGGCATGAGCTGGGTCACCAGCTGCACCGTGGAGGTCAAGCAGATGCCCAGGAGGCGGGACACGTACGGGGAGCCCACACCAGCCATCACATATGCTTCCTGGGGGCACGGGGGCATGCTGAGGGGGTGTGGGAGACCACACACCCCAGCCACCACCACGCGCCCCTCCTGAGGGCCAAGGAGTGACTGGGGGCCCCCACCCCATCTGACACCAACCAGAGCCACAGCCCGCAGAATGGGGGGGGGGGGGGGGGAGCGTCCAGGTTTGGGGGTCACACACGTGTCTCCTTAAACCCCAGGGAAGAGGGAGCCCAGAGGCCAGGCCCGCAACCAGGGCCCATCCTGCACTCCTGGCTGGGCAGGGCGGAGGGACTCACGTCCAGGATCTCTTTGTTGGCTTTGGGAGACGTGTTTTCCCTCAAAACTTTGATGGCCACTGGGATCTTCACATTCTCCCCGTCAGGGATCCAGATGCCCTGGGCGGAAAGAGGGGGATGTGAGCAGGAAACGGCGG